GCGGAATTTTTCATGAGTGAAGTCTAACTATAACGACGGAGGGAGGAAAGAGTGCGGATTACGGTTTGGAATGTGGATGAGAATGCAACATGCCAGTTTTTTTGGGGGAGGGGGCAGGTTTCATTAGACTTGGGACCCAAAAAAGCAAAATAGGATCAAATTATTAGGTTACCTGTGATGCGAGTTTTTGATTGAGAACTCGTGCTTCACTCGCTTCTGCGCGAAGCTTTTCAACGGTCTCTGTGTAGACTGCATCGGTTTTTGCCTTCTCTTCACGATACTGTTGAAAATCTGAGTGTAGAGAACAGAGCGATTCTTCCAGTTTGCTGACAGCTGGGGACGACTGTAGAGTGGTCACATTCATTGAAGTGTTTATGGAAGAATCTAAAAATAACAATGCTCCGATACAGTATTTAACAACATCGGGAAAATGCATGGTAGGGCCCGAGCAAAAAAAAGAATTTACCCCTGTTTGCGATCAAGCTGAAGTTGTCATACGTGCTGAGTGAATGTCTGGGGCCAACGGACTCCTCGAGAGCACTCGAGAAGACATCTGCAAGACTGGGAGAAATAGAATGACGTTCTAGAACACGCTGATAGGCATCGCGCTGTCTGATAGCCAGATCCGCTTCGCTTCGGGCCTCCTTGGCTGCCAGGCGAGCAACGTTGACCTCACCGGAGAGAGCATCCACTTTGGCAGACAGTTCTGCTACTCGGTTTGCAAGGTGTTCGTCAGTAGACTCGCGATCTTCCAACTGACTTGCCAGATCCCGAGCGACGAGCAACAATTTCTGATTTTGCGACTGGAGTTCCGAAAAACTTGCAAATGTGACGAGGTTATCGTCAATGACGCTGTTAGCTGCAATGCAGGTATCCAGAAGCTTGCGACTATCTAGAGACTCGTCTGCTAGACGGTCACCATTACTGCTGCTGTCGGGCCGGTCAGACTCTTCGGAGCGGATAACCGTCCCACGGGCGATTTCCAACTCACGAAGGAGGGTTTTAACCTGGAGAGAAAGGGGGATGAACTCGAAAGGAATCGATGTTGAGGAAGCAGAAGTAAAACCAAAGATTTGGCAAACAGGGTCATAGGTGCGATAGGAAATAGGTTGCGAACGAAAATGAAACCGAACAAGAAGGCATTAACCAGTTTTTAATTCCGACTGTAGAAGACGATAAAAGAGCAACAAAAAATCGAGCCTACTGTGCTAGGTTTACAATGGTAAAGCGTAGAGGTAAACGCATTTGGAGCAGAGAGCATCGACTAAATGGATTATACAATAAATCAGTTTAAAAGGTTGAAAAATTAACCTTTGTGCAACCGACGGTCATAGGACGCATAAAGGTCCGGCCAACTTACCTGACTCACTTCAGTATGTGAACCAGTTAGTTTGTATTTTATCTTAGTCAAAACGTTAGATAACACAAACTTTGTAGAACATTCCAATAAACTAAGCAGAATAAACTCGCAAGTAACGTTAATGAAATGGGCAGCATTCAAAACCGACCTGTGTTGACATATCTCGGCAACTTTGCTTCAACCTCAAATTTTGACGTTGGAAGTAGCCGGCACGGCGTTTGAAATCTTCGCCATTTTCCTGAAGCTCTTTGTAATTATTCTGCAACACTGAAAATTCATGTTCAAGCTCCTCAACCCTGGACTTGGACTTGATAAATGCTTCTTGCTGAGACCGTAAGAGGGGGCCTGCAAAAAGGTTAGCAAAACAAATCAATTACCCTTTTCCTCAAGCTGAGTGACCATTTCTCGAACGTGTTCCGTGAGACGCTCTTTGTCTATTTTAAGCATGTCTCGTTCTTCCACGACTTGCACGTAATCGGAGTATATTTGAGTTAGGCTGCGACCCCTCTTTAACGAGGCAATAGTGGTGGCAACTGCTGGATTAAGCTTCCGCAATTCGTCTTCAGACAGTCCTAAAAAGTCATAAATGGTTTAAGAAAATCAACTAACCTTGAATTCGGAACTTTTCAACTATCTCTTTGGCGGAGTTTAGTTCAAGCGCCAATGTATTACTCTTCTCTAAAAGATCATTTTTCTCCGCTGTAAAAGCGTTCAACATGGCTTCCTTTTCAGATTGTAAATGAAGGACGTCTACAAAGTTTCTATTGAGATACTGCAAACAACTTACGTTCATGTCCAGCCTGTAGCAATTCCTGCATTTGAGCGACAGCCTTCTGCATTTGCTCGACTTTTTTCTCAGCCTCTGTCGCTTGTTCCTTATTACTTAATAGAGTGATGAATAAAACATTACCTTATACAAATCAGTAAGACGCTTCTGGGCACCAAGTTCGTTTGCGTGGAGTTGCTCTAGGTTTATAAACTCATCAGTTCGCTAAAAGGAAGAAGCAGATAAAAATAGGCAGGATAATCTTAATTACCTGTTTCAATTTCTCGATATGATCCTCATTCGACTCAGTCAACTTCTTCACCAAGTCTTCTAACTTCAAAATGGTGGCCTGTGAATTTTCAAACTGGGACACAATCAATCTGATAAGGGCCAACATACCTCAGCTTTCCGGGTGGACAACTCGCTTTCGAGGGCAAGACATTTTTCAGTCTGATAAAGAGTAATGCTGAAATAAGGGGCTTACGTTATCTCGGCGGATTGAGAGTAGCTTATCATTTGCCTCATTAAGTTGCTCCTCAAGCCATGTATTGTGTTTACGTATAGCCTCCATACCTTCCTCCGCTTTTTTTCCACGCAACTAGGACGTACATACGGAAGAGAAAAAGTACCTCAACTGTAGACTTTAGAGCCTTTGCTTCTTCGAGTTGGAGAATGGCATCGGCCTTCATTTGTCTGGTAGCGGAAACCTCATCCTTCAGACGTTTCACTTCAGCAGCACGTTCTTCTAATTCATTTGTTCTCAGTGATAACTGTTCCGATAGGCTCTCCTTGTCATTCTCGAGATTTTTGATGACTAATTCAAGCTCATTTGAGATGGAAAGTCCATCGGTAAGTTTTTTGGCGTAGTCATCTTTTTCATTTACGAGACTGTTGTGTCTTTTCTCCAATGCATCGAAAGCAGCTCTCAAGGTTTGTAAACTTTCATTGATTGAGGAATTCTCCTCAGAATACTTATCGCAGGATTCGCGTAAAGACTTGATGGCTTCGTCTAAAAGAAATTAGGGAGGACTCCTAAAATACCTTTATCCGACTCTGACTTCTGCAGTTGGTCCTTAAGTTCAGAAACCTCGTTAGATAAGCTATCGAATGCGACGGCAAGATTTTCCGCGACTTTTTCAGAAAGTCCAAGAAGATCTTCTTCCTTTAATCGTGCCAGACGTAGTAGAGCGTCCATGACTGTGTTGTAAACGGGCCTACTCCTTGTCCTGTATTTCTTGGGGAACTGGACTCTGTAACTGTTGCTACTTCTTAAAAAGCCTTCGTGGAGTTGTGCTTAACCTGTGAATAAGGAAAATTGTCAGAGTCGCCCATTTCTCGTATAGTGATCGAAGCAAAATCAGCGTTTATAGTAAAAGAAAATGTTAGACATAGAAGTGCATTGCTAAATTGGGAACAATAGACAAAGGGACTGGACTTAAAATATGTTGTAATGAATAATCAAACTACGTTAGATTGCTTTTGATTATCGGAGGGGAAAAGATCCCTGATAACAATGTCCTACCGCACTTCTAAAACAGATGCTCTTGCTAACTCCAGTGGCCTGCATTTGGCGCTAACATGAGTATGCATCGACTGTGCGCGCCAATCCGCGTACGGAATACCGTCCAGCAC